TTCACTTTAAAAGATGGACAATGATGCTCAATTTCACAAACCTAAGATTACTTCACCTAAATAGTATATATTATGCACCCAATGTTATTAGCTTATATTGACATATTTGTATTATTATTTTTATTACTTTATATCAACACACTAATGTGATCCTAACTTCCAACATTTTACTTACTCATTACCAGTGCCTTAATCCTCCCTGTACCAATCTCTGCCTATTGAACACATAGCCCTCGTGAGTACCCGGAGAAATGTTTTCCTTTGTTTTGAAGCATTGCATCATTCCTCAACTAGATACAGACCCACAATCCCTTGTCCAGGCTCTGTTTCACTATTCAGAATTTTATCTTATATTACAAAGGTAATAGAGTATATCTCTTGTATGTGATATCTGCTAGAATGGTCTGGAGCAGAATACCACAATTAAATTTAGTAATATTTTTGCTGCAAATGGTATAAATGTTCACACTCATTTGGATAAACAGACTGTAAAAAGGCTTATATCAGTTCAGGTTTCTGACACATGTAGATCTATTTCTAACACATGTAGTTCAGGCTAATATGTACTGAAAAATGATTAAACTTTTAAAAAAATGGTGTTCGGTTTTTTGGATTTTAGAATTGCACATAAAGAATTGTAGACCTGCATGATCTTTCTCCACAGGAAGTTTTGTTAGGTCCATTCTCAGTGTTATGTGGCATTCTCTCTAGCACAGTTCTGTATTTACTTATCTTAGCCTAATTACTGCATGATATCTCTAAGGGCAGGGAATGTGTCATCATCTTTGTGTGCTCTTCAGGACCTAGTGCATTCTTAAATCCTACTATTTACGTTAGGCATACTTTACAAACAAGAAAAAAAAATCACAACAATATTCCACATACATGGATGGTGCTAAAAATACTTGTCAATATCACAGTATGACAATATTCTTTTTCACCATCATTAATAGGCAGCGAGTTATTATTCAAGCAAATTTCTTTGGATAGAACTACCTAACTTATGCTGTGTCAATTCCACAAGAAGATCTCATTAGGAATTTACCTCACTGATGGTCTGCCTGAATTAGAATTCCAGAAGAGGTGTGTAGTACTCTAAAATTTTGAATTCTAATCTAAATTTGGGAAATTAGATGATGAGACAAATTCTTAGCATCTTATTTTGCAATTTGCAGGTAAGTCATTTAAAAAGTCAATTATTTGACTAAAATTGTTTCCATGCTGTGTGTCTGTGAACCTTTCTCTTTATAAGAAACAGCAATTTTTGTCATCTCACCTATATGTTGTCCATACATGTGATAAAAGAAGCTGAAACAATATGCTGTGTTCGTAGGTCCATAAGGGTTTTTGGGAGCTATGCTGAAAACAGGGCTGAGAAGTCGAGCCTTTTCGCCTTCCAATCTGGGTCGAGAAGTCTCAATGTACATGTAAAAACCTTAAAACAGACACAATAAAATGTTTCAACACATTATTGTTAGGTAACAGGAAACCTCAAATCATTGAGAAGTTTCAGAGTTTTTGTACAAAGTAAAGATTGATAAGCAGATTTGCATCTCATTTCTCATATCTATATGTGCATACATAACTAATGGTGGCTTTAACATAAAGAATAAATTCTCTACTTAATTAAAGATAAAATGTACAAAAACATGAGACCAAATTGGAAGTTTAGACTGGAATTATCAAAAAAAAATTTTTTT